TTCTAATCACTTCTCAGGCTTTTGGCTAAGATCAAATGTAAAACAATTCCATTTACAATAGTGTCAAAAAGAATAAAACACTTAGGAATAAATTCAAACAAGGAAGTGCAACATTGACAAAACATAGTTGAACGAAATTAAAGACCTAACTAAAAGGAAAGACATTCTATGTTCTTGGAAGAGAAGATTTAACATTGTTAAGTTCCCAAATGTATCTACAGATTCAATGCAATCTGAAACAAAATCTCTGCTGTCTTTTTTGCAGAAATTGACAAGTTGATTCTAAAGTTCATATGGAAATTAAAGAAACCAAGAATATCCAAAAATAATCTTGAAAATGAGTTGGAGAGCTCACACTTCCTGATTTCAAAACTTATAGTAATCAAGATGAAACTGGCATAAGGCTAGGCATAGATATCAATGGAACAGAATCGAGAGTATAGAAATAATCTCTCACATTTATGAAGAATTACTTTTTTGACAAGGTCATAATGACAATTAAATGGGAAAAGAATATTTTTTCTAGTGGCGCTGAGACAAAAAGATATCCATATACAATAAAACTAAATTGTACATCTACCTCATACTATATATACCATATATAAAAATAAACTCAAAATGGATTGAAGATCTAATTATAAGAGATAAAATTATAAAACTCTTAGAAAAAAAATAAGCATAAATATTCATGACTTTTGATTAGGAAATAGTCTCTTAAATATAGCACCAAAAGAACAAGCAACAAAAATAGATAAACATTATCAAAATTTAAAACTTCTGTGCTTCAAAAGATACCATCAAGAAAGTGGGAGGACAACCCATAAAAGGAAGAAAAGGCTTGTGTATTAGTTATCTGATAAGGGCTAGTACCCAGAATATATAAATAACTCCTATAACTCAATAACAAAAAGACAAATAACCCAATTTTTTTAAATGGCCAAAGGATCTAAATAGACAGTTCTTCAAAGAAGCTATACAAATAGCCAGTAAGTATTAGACATGAGAAGATGTGGAATATCATTAGGTATCAGGGAAACTCAAAACCACATCACTTCACACCCACTAGGATGACTAATATAAAAAAAGACAAATAATAGTATTGATAAACATGTAGGGAAATTGGCCCATCGTACTCTGCTGGTGGGAATGTAAAATGCGGCAGCCACTTTGGAAACAGTCTGGCAGTTGCTCAGATGGTTAAACATGACATTACCAAGTGAACCAGCAATTCCATTCCTAGGTGTAAGAGAAATAAAAACATACATTCACACAAAAACATGTACATGAATATATTCATACAACATTATTCATAATAATAAAAAACATGGAAAAAACCCAAATGTTCATTAACTGATGAATAGATCAATAAAATGTGGTATATCCATACAATGAAATATTACTCGGCCATAAAAAAGGAACTGCTACATACTACAACATAGATGATATTTGAAAATATTATACCATCTGAAAGAAGTCAATTACAAGGAACTATATAATATGATTCTATATACAGTCATGAGTCATTTAAAGACTGGCTACATTGTGAGAAATGTGTCATTAGGTGATTTAATTGCTGTGCAAACATCATAGAATGTTCTTACACAAACCTAGGTGGTATAGCCTACTACACACCTAGGCTATATGGCATAGCCTGTTGCTCCTAGGCTATAGACATATACAGCATGTGACTGGACTGGACTGCAGGCAACTGTAACACGAAGGGAAATATTCATGCAATTGAAAATTTTCAGCTTCATTATAATCTCATGGGACCACCATTGTTATGCAGTGCATGACTGTATATGAAATGTTCAGAACAGGCAAATCTATAGAAACAGATAGATTAGTATTTTCCCAAAGCTGCAGGGATTGAGAGTAAATGGAAAGTTACTGCTAATGGGTGCAGGGGTACAAGGCTTCTTTGAGGGTGATGAAAATGTTCTAAAACTGTGCTGATGGTTGCACAACCCTGAAAATACTAAAAAGTACTGAACTGTATACCTTAGCTGGGTGAATATCATGGTATGTAAGTATCTCAATAAAACTATTATTGTTGAAAAATAGAGGTTATATTGTCTTGGCAGAAGCATGAGCCATGGTGAAATGAAATACATGCAAAGGAACCTTTCTAAAAGATTACAAAATGTAGTAAATCTTGGTCTGTTAAAAAGTTGTGGTTAAAGGGCTATTGGTTCTGGGACCCAATATGACCAGCAGAGAAGCTGCAATGAAGAGTGAGGGGATGTTCAGCTCGAAGGTGGTTTGGTGAAAGCCACCTCCTCAGCGTGGTCTCCCATATGCACAAGGCCTCCTGGCTCCCAACAGCTGAGTCTCAGCAGACCTCAGCCGCAGTGGGTAAGGGGTCCTGCAGGGAGGTGGTCCTGGAGGCAAGTGACCCAGAGCTAGCTATGTGCCTAAGGATCACACAAGAGCCGTGAAGCAATGGACCCCAGCCACAGGGTCTGTAATCCTACACAATACAGGGCAAATGTGAACTATTGTCTTAGCCTGGGTTTCCTCAAGAGCAAAAGACTCTTCTGTGAGTGGGAGCAGGAGTGAGGGACAAGGATGAAAAACAAGGAAGGAAAAGAATTCATACCCCAAAGCACTGTGTTCAGTCTTCAGGATGTTCTGAGAAGGCTTACAGAGTGCAATTAAAAAGTGTGCACTTGAGGGATACAAGGAGGAAGCATTTACCCACGGGCTTCACTCTTCCCCTGGACTAGGGCTGTTCCATGGGGCGTTAACTCTCCCCACTTCTAGGTTGTGCGAGCACAGGTCCCCACAGACATGCTGTGGAGATGGAGGGGCCCCAGGATAGGAAGTGCAAGGCACACTACACGCTCATTCATAGCTGCAAACATGCTCGGAACTGGTAGCTATGGCTGTTGCTAGAGTAAGAAGCAAAGGTGAGAGAATTTGAGACAGTGCATAAGAGGTATCTGATACACCTATCACCTAAATTCAGTAAGGCTCAGAAGCAGCTGCATCATTTGTGGGGCCAGTGAAAAATGAAAATGTGGAGCCTCCTGTTAAAAAAATTAATAGTTTTTCAAGATGGTAACAGCAGAGCATTAAACCAAGCCCAAGGCCCTTCTGAAGACAGGCCTGTGCTACTGCACAGGTCGCATGCCCATGGAGCTGGATATCGTCTGGACTCTCCAGTAGAAAATTTACGCCTTGCACCACTTTTCTACTACCACGTGTGCACACACACACCAGGGACTGCCAACCACATCTTCCTAAGGAGCACCAACATGGAAGAGCTTGAGTACTCCTCTGCCCGGCTTCTGCCTCTGCTCTAAGCACCCATAAGCACGGCCTCCAGATGGTTTCCTGACCCTCTGATGTGTGTTGAGGTGTTCCCAGGCCCAAATCAAATCTGGACAAAGGAGAGTATTTTTCATAAAGGATGTTTTTTTCCCCCATAAAGTAAGATTCATTTAAAAATGGAATTATGATGATGGTTGGTAGTACTTTTTATTTTGCTAAGGATATCAAATTTTTTTAAAAAATGGCAGACGTTTGTCAGTCCTAGAACTGAAATGGAACTTGCCAATCTATGGATGTCTGAGAACTGCTGGGTTGGGAGGAGGGAAGGGCAGGTAAGGGTCCCAGATCCAGGGGCTGGTGGATGTGAAGATTGACCCCTGCATGGACAGGAAGGCAGTGATGCAGGGTATTTTAGAAGGCTCTGCCTGCTCCACAGGATAGAAAACATTTAATCTCTGAGCTTGGCCTGCCCCCTGTGTTTCTGAAGTATTCTTTCCTTCATTCATTTTCTTACCAAGTCTCCCTCAAAGGACCAAGAAGAAGGCCCTGCGTGCCAAGTAGAGTTTGAGCATTTGGGAAGTTCCCTTCTTCAAACACTTCATCTATCCCTAAATCACCCACCTCAAATTTCGCTACCAGTAATACAGGTGAATTAATTAGTGTACACCAGAGTTAATATCAGACTACGAGCCTCTGGTTCTTTTAAAGTGCAGTAAGTCCCTAGGTAAGAAAATTCTCTTGTAGCAGTTAGTATAGTCTCTAATGCATTAAAAATACTGCATAAACATTATTATGCTATTAATGTCAGGTGATTATATCACTAAATCCCAACAAAACCCAAAGAGCTGAGCGCTAATACTATTATCCCCATTTTTTGGCTAGGGAAACTAAAGTTCAGAGAAAGCGAATAATTACTCAAAGTCACATTACTAGAGAGTAGAGAGCTGGGATCCAAAACAGCCCCGGAGTCTATCATTCCACCGCTCTGCCACATCACTGGGCCTGGGGCACACCAAGGGACAGGGAGTACAGAGTTGGGTTGAGACACGGGGAGGGTGGGAGACAGGACACAATGAGCCATTCTTGTGCCTCCAGTCGAAGCCCACCCCAGAGTATACCTTCTCTTAGGCAAAAATCTGTCACTCTTCTGATACTAGCCCCTGGTATGCACTTATTAATTCATCAGTCATTTGTTCAGAATCAGTGAATTCATTGTGACAAATAGTTGAAACTATTCAGTTATAGATCTGCATATGGGAGAAGCCATTTCAGACTGATTTTTCAATTTCTAAAACTTCAATTTTCAGCATTAAACAAAGCTTTTCCAAAATATTTTTTTCATACTTATTTGAGCCAACACCAAATTGTAGGCATTGTTTCCTTTTAATTGAACCCATCTGCAAATCAGTGGAATCTTCCAGAGCCTCTGGAAGAAACCTTTCCAAACTCTCTATTAATTACTTGATTAATCACTGAGGTTTGGCATCTGGATCTCACACTGATGTTCTTGCACAAGCAGGCACGCTCATAAAACGACAACGTGAATTATTATTTTAAAGTGTCTGTGCGTGTCTCCTTCCAATATGGACACCAATTTTATGTTTGAAGTGACAAAATTATCAGGAAAAAGAGGAGGAGAAATCAGACATTTTTTATTGGCCAAGCCGGGAAACCCAAGTCCAAAAAACCTAAAAGGGAAACAAAGAAAAAGCCAAAGGGCCCAACTGAGCCAAGTATGTCTGGCTTCTCCACAAAGAACAGGCATTCCCCCTGCCCAGTGGAGGGGGAGCAGAGCCCACTTACTGGATGCAGACACGCTCCTTAGTCTGTCCCTGTGTGTGCAGACTCGAGCACATACTGCCAATCTATTCCTTCCAAGTGCCCAGATTAGAACAGGTCTAAGAACAATTTTGAGTTGCATAATGATCAAGCCAACTTTAGGTTAAGACTCTCATTCCTCCTCCTTTCTAAAACAAAAACACTTGAAAGAGGCGATATAACTCAGAAGTCCAGAAATGCAGGAGGGAAGTACTTTTGGAAGAAGAGTAGAGAAGTTTTCTTCAGCAACAGTTGTCCACACCAGGGATGGCAGGCAACAGTTGTCCATGGCATGAGATCCAAGGATCTAAGACATGAGTAGGTGTCTCTAGGCCCAAATATGCTATGCTTCCATTTATTCTGTAGACTGTGAAATGTGTTTTCACAAAGAGCAGTTAAAATTGGGTTGGGAGGGAAGTGTGACTTAGAGGAGCAGAGAAGAGAGGGAGTGAGAAAAGCATCTTTTCCATATGGAACTCATCAGAGGCATCAGACTTTTGGGGACACTTTGACCTCATCTTTACCTTTATAAATATCCTACCTCATTTTTTTCTTCTGATATGTTCCACCTGTTGGCAAAATCTTTCTCTAAGTAGGATAAGGAGAAATATAAAGAAATGAGTCCGCTGTCAAATTTTGCTTGGGTTTTAATATCCTCTTTTTGAAAATGTTCATGTGCACCATTAGCCAATCAGAGTTTCAATATGCTGTGGAATTTTCACCCTGCCATGCTGTTTTTACAAAATAGTTTTTGCCTAGACTTGCTAATAAATTTGTTAATCCTTCATTGGGTATACAAGAAAACTCTTCATTATGCCTTAAAACAGGGTTTCTCAATCTCAGCACTACTGACATTTTGAGTCAGATAATTTTTTTTGTCATGGAGGGATGTTCTGTGCATTTTGGATGTTTGGCAGCCTCCTTGGCCTCTTCCCATTAGTTGTAAGAAGCACCCTTTCCCCACCAGTTTTGAAAACCACAATTGTCTCTAGCCATTGCCAAATGTCCTCCAGGGGGGATATCTCCCCTCACAACTACCTCCATCACAGCCCATCCCACCTCTACTAAAAAATATCAGCCTCTGGCTTTAAGAGAATCATTAAAACATGAAAAGGAAATATTTAATATTGGACACCAATTTGAAGTATCAAAATCCCAAGTATTCCAATACTTGAAGAATATTTTAATAGACCCTATGCATTGTCTATTTCATTGCTATGCCCCCATCCTTCCCTGATTACATGGTGGGCTGATCCATTGATCTCTGAGTTGGTGGATTCCTCTTGCAGCCGAGGAGAGACAGGTAGTCATGAGAATCCCATTTTCTTTTGCCAGTGGTTGGTCAAGGGATGGGAATCATGTTACCCAGTTCTAGACAATGAGACATAAAAGGGAAAAAATGTTTGGGGAGGAACTCCTCTTATAAGATTAGAAATACAATAATAAAACAAGAGTCTGTCTTTTATGTTGCCATATCTCTCTTTCCTCCACTGTGATCTCTGCCTTTGAATGTGGTTGTGTGGTACGGAGCTTTAGCAGCCATCTTACAATAGTAAGGAAGTAAATAGAAGAACAATATGCTAACAGCTTGAGGAAGGTAGAAGAGAAAGAACCAAGGAGCTTCAGGCCTAATGACATCCTTAACTACTGAACCAGCCTTAGAACGCCCACCTTAAAATACTCCTTAATTGAGATAATTCCACACTTTTTTTTTTTTTTGCCTAAACCAATGCTTGGCAAATCAAGGTCTGTAGGCCAAATCCAATAATTAAGAATTGTTTTTACATTTTAAAAGGTTGTTGAAACAAAACAAGAAGAATGTATGACAGAGACTATATGTGATCCACAAAGCCTAAAATATTGACTATGTGACTCTTTACAGAAGGTTTCCAATCCCTGACCTAAGCCAATGATAGTGGATGTCATATGATTTGCAGCCCAAAGCATTCCGAATACTAGTACTGATACCTTCATTTTACAATTACAGAAGTTGAAGCTTGAGTTGGCCAGTGATAGGCTTAACTGTGTCCGGTTTAATTCAAATACAAATTTGCCATTATCCCAATTAACAAACTTTTCTGTCCAGTAGGGCTTCAAATAATATTTCTATTCTAGGCTTGATTTTACAAATCAGAAAAGACAAAGCCTCTTGATGAAACACAATGCACTCAGTGGATATCTTCAAAAGGGGCCAAAGTGTCCCACCACCTGGAACATCAAGGCACTTCCTACATTAGGGAATCCAACTTAGAGACTCCAAGGAGGAAAAGACATTACAGAAAAGCACTACATAAACAAACTCATTGATTTGATGAATTGCCTCTTCTACATACTGAAATAGATAGTTCTTGCACTTCCTGCTGACTCACTCAGAGTGAATCCTCAATGAAAAGTATTCAAAGCCTTCCTCCTTTAACTCTATGTCCCAAGTTAATACTGCTATTTTCAGCGGGGCCAACATGTTCTGTAGCACCTTGGTAAAGAGTTTAAATATTGACCAACTATGTATACTGAGAAAGTCAGGTCTGGGAGAGAACACACAGAGCACACCGTGGAAAGCCCATGTTTGTCATACAAAAGTTACAGTAAACACCAACATGTAACCATGGGGCTGTGACTGAGAACTGTGTCACTAGTGGGGCCAGGCTTTTCTCAGTTCATTCAACTGGCATTTCTTTGCCTTTATATCCCAGTGCCTGGTACACAGTAGGTGATCTACGAAAAATGACAGCTCTCGGTCTACACCCAGTACTGGTTGTGCTTCAGCATTGGGTTGGTTTGTCGGCAGAGCTTGACCATGTTGGGATCCAGGTTCACCCATGTCTCCCAAGGACCACATGTTTCCACTGGCTCAGACACAGGAGAATCCACTGGGTCATATTGCGGGCCCCTGAAAAGACCGGTGGGAGGGCTGCTGGAGCTTTGTATAAGGGGTGTCACTGTGACCATGGGAATGGTTGTGCTTCTTTCTGGCCTATGACTTGGGGCTGTGGGCTCTGGGCTGGCCTGGGGTTTGAGAAGGGGTTTTGCCTTCTCTACCTTCCGGCCCAGCAGCCAGACACACAAGGCCACTGCGGCCACTATCAGCAGGAAGATCACCGCGGCCAAAGGCAGGATGACCATCAGAGGGTAGCCACTCTCCCTGGGCTGAGTGGGTGCCCCAGGGCTGACTTTGGTGGCAGCTGGTGGCCCGATGAACTTGGTGGGAGAGACCTTGCCATCCACACTGGGCTCTTCACCCCTGTGTTGTCCCCAGGGATCTGCTTCCTGCCATCTGGACCAGGTCAGCTTCCCCAGAGTTTCTGTCCCTGTCGTGGGTCCTGAGGAAACCACAGGGTTTTCCTGAGAGAGAACCGAGGTCACAAGGTTATCTCCAGTGACAAATAAAGGAACATCCGGTGTAAACGTTTGCAAAAGTAAGGGGTCAGGTGGCACTATGCTGAAAGGGAGACAACCCACCGCAGGCTGTACTCGGTCCGCCCTGAGCAAGAAAGTGAAGGAGTCGTTCAGCACATCGGTGCCTGTGAGGCTGGCGTGTGGGTCAAGCAGCAGCAGCCCGCGGTCAACGTCCGTCTGAGTGAACAGCGTAGCGTCTTCCCTCACAGAGCTGCGAGGCCCTCTCCACACCAGCCTTCCGTGGACAGGCGGTTCTGTCACTTCAAATCTGGGATCACTGTTACTCATATTAGCCAGCTCGGTAGCATCTAGGTCCTTTCTTCTCAGCTGATGAGCCACTCCGTTGGCAATTTTCAAGTCTGACACAACCCGCAGTAAAGGCTGCACTCTGATGTTCAGCGTTTGTCCTGTCAGGTTGCTTTCTGATGTAAACAGTGAGAACTGTAGCTGGTCTTCTGCGGCAGTGAGATTCGTCATATGGTAAGAGAGTCTTCCTGAATCCAGATCCTCCTGTCCAAAGCTGGTGACCACCTGGCTTTCATTCAGTAGGTGCCCATGCTGGAGGGGCCATGTTATCTTGTAGGTGACATGGGGGCTCCTCCCATTGGTCCTGGCTGACAGGTGAGCACTGGTGATGGGGACGGTTGTCTGGCCCTGTGGGAGAAGGAGGTCAGTGAGGTTCACAAGGGTGATGGAGATAGGAATGACATCCAGGTGGAAGAGCTTGTAGAGAGGGCGGTGTCCACCATCTGTCACACTAAAGTAAAACACCCCTGAGGATGGGCTTCCATCTTGTATGAACCACACCTGAAAGTCATCAATGTCGGCTTGTGTGAAATGGTGAACAGGTGTGTCTGGACGGTAAGCCATTGCCAAAAAGCCATTATTAGGATTACGGAGGATCACATATCTGATCTCTTCTGGAGGACTGTCTAGATCTTCCACTTTCAGGTTTTCAGGTCCCACAACCAATCTACTGCCCTGCAGAACTTTCAAGCGAAGTCCTTTTGTCTTTAATTCTGGTGCCTGGTCATTAACAGGAGAGATGGTGATATTAAACATCTCTTCAAGAAAGTCAGTTTCTGGTTTGGTGGTGGACTTGCTCTTTTGGTTTGGCCAAACTGCAAAGGTAAAATTATCAGCCAGTGATTCAGAGTCATCGTGGAAGTATGTGATTCCAAACTTATTGATTATATGCTGGGAGAAATAGGGTTTTCCTTTGGTAATATTTCTTTCTCCAACCATAATGGTTCCATGATGAGGAAGAGATGTAACCTGGAACCAAATTTCATAGGAGGAGCGCTGAGATTTGGGCAATTTAAATAAGAGGTTGGAAGCATCTAACTTAGATTGGTCAATTAGAACTTTGTCTCCCTCTTTGACAGCAGCACCTGTCAAACATAAATATAAAGAACAAAGTGGCATTTCATTAGAACTTTCAAATGACAGTTGTAAAGCTCTTTCTCCCTCAAATTCATCTGTCCTAGTGGATTATTCAAAACACTCTGGTTGCTCAAGTGCCCGAATTAGCCTTTCTACCCAAGGCATATGAAAAAATTAGATTTTAAATAAACACACATATATGCACACACAATTCAGTCAACATTTCAGGCAACTGAGCTTTAAAACCTTTAGATTCACCTCTAAAATGTCAATGTCCAGACCTAACTAATCTACTACCACACTTTCTCTTGCCATGGAAACAGGTGCAGCTTTCAATACCCCTTTCGTTTCAAGATCTTACCCTATTTTTCATTTTCATTTCCTATCAACAGTTGTTTTCAGTCATGGGCACAGTGAAGTCCCCATTCAGAGGTACAGATAAAATTCTTTAAAGCTAAACTTCCATCCTTCCCCCAACACAACTATTAAGCTCATGAGAAGAGGCCTGGAGAAAGAGGATGTGTAAAGAAATAACATTTTTTTTTTGTGATTGTCTAAGAGTTTTATTTCAAATGCTGATAGCATGACATTGACAATTAAAAACAGAACGATTTATTTCCAAATTGTGCCTCCTTTAATAATGATAGATAAGGCACTAACCATGTCTCGGTGGCATTACCTGTATTTGCAAGCAGATGACTGTGCTGTCCAGGCTCACTGATTTCATAGGAAATAACAATATGAAACTCCTCGGGGCCCAGAGCTGCCGGTGGGGAAGAGGCCGTGAATGTAAAGAAGTCTTCCGTGGTCCAGTCTGTGTTCTCATGGTCCACATGCTGGTATAATATCAGCCCTTCGCTAACCTAGCCAGACAGTAAGAGTGATTAGCCTCTGGCTTCAGGATGATACCATGATTAACTAACATGTATCCTCACTGGACGAGATACATGACCTTTCAGGGTTCACTCTGCTCATGCTCAAATTATTGCACATACTCACATAAATGTAGAAACATTAAAAGCATAGTAACTTATTTTTCAAAACTAGAGGATTCTATTACACAAAAGATCCATTCATCAGAGAAAGAAAAGCACATTGATTTTGAGATGACTAATATCTAAGGCATTCGTGTTACAGAAAATTTATAAGAAACCTCCACTTACCTGTCAGGCAGCTTCAACAATTATCAACTCATAACCAGTCTTGTTTCATATATACTTTTCTGCCCAACAGATGACTTTGAATCAAATCATATCATTTCATCTTGTGATTTGAATGTTTGTCCCCTCCAAAAACTCATGTTGAAACGTAATTCTCCCAATGTGGTAGTATTGAGAGGTGGGGTCTCAGAGGTAACTGGCTCATGAGAGCTCTGCCCTAATGAATGAATTAATCCATTCATGGATTAATGGGTTATCATGGGAGTGAGACTAGTGGCTTTATAGGAAGGGGAAGAGAGACCCAAGCTAGAAGCTCAGCCCCTCACCATGTGATGCCCTGTGCTGCCTTGGGACTCTACAGAGAGTCCCCACCAGCAAGAAGGCCCTCCCCAGGTGCAGTCCCTCCACCTTGGACTTCTCAGCTTCCATAACTGTAAGAAACAAATTCTTCTTCTTTATAAATTGCCCAGTTTCAGATATTTTGTATAAGCAACAGAAAATAAACTAAAACACATCTATAAATGCTTTAGTAAGTTTTAGTAAAACATGACTCTTAAAAACATAACCACTATACCACTGCCACATGTAAATATTATAAATAATTACTTAATGGTATCAAATATGCAATCAGTGTTCAAATTTCTCTGATGATATAGCACATGTCTTTTTTTATATAGTTGCTCTGTTTGAGTTGGGATCCTAAGCACATACATTATATTCGTTTAATACTTCTCATAGATGTCTTTTTGTCTTATGAGTTCCCTTTCTTTGATTTGTTTTTTCCTTGTGATTTATCTCTTGAAGAAATTGGGATGTCTTCTAGAGTTTCCTATATTCTGGATTTTGCTGATTACATCCCTATGATGTTTAAGATTTCCTCTCTCCTCTGTATTTTCTGTATACTAGAAAGTTAAATCTAGACACATAGTAAGAATCAGGTCCAATCTTACAGGTTGTATTATGCATTTCCTCTTGTATCTCATTGCAAAACAAAATATTTGGTTGACGCTCTTTTGGATATCCTAAGATTAATAGATGGGTTCAAGTAATAGCAGGTTGATCCATCTGTTTTAAGGTTCCCCATCAGCCTATTATCCAATAGTTTTAAACAGTTATTGATACTATTGCCCAAGTACATTGTTGCAGTGGCAAAACACTGATACTTTCTTTTAACATTTCTTCTTCATTATTATCTGCTAGTTTTTTATAAAGAATTTTCATCAGCTATTCGATTACAATGAGGTACAGAAAGAACTTTCTTTCATCAGCTGTTTGATTACAATGAGATACAGAAAAAACAGGAGAAATGGTTGATTTTTTCCCTTTCATATCAATTTTTAGATAGTGAGTTTGTCACCTGGCTCTAACTACCAAACGTGACCATTGGATTGGTTTTGTTTCTGTGTTTGTTTATTTTGGAATCATTAGAAACTCATGAATTTTAACACATGATGGATTTCATTCCATTGCAGTTATTATTCTCACTGATGTTCCAATTGTCCCACCTTGCCTAAGGTATTTTTCCAGAATTTAATCAAAGTCCCTGATGCTTGTTAGCTGTCAATGTCCTTTCTAACTCAACTGATGGGGATGGGTTCTTCTCAGAGTTTTGTTGTCCAGACACCATGTGAGTTGTCCTTCCTCAACGGTGATTGAAAGTTCCAAAATTGTAACCACAGAAGGAATTGCTACAGATGAAATATTCGATCCTTAATTTCTTTGGGTCACATCTTTTTCTGACCGGCTAATTATTATAATACTCTGAATTTACTGGTGGGTTTTGCCAAGGTATTCAATTGTCTGGATCAAAAGTGCCTTAAAGTGCCTAGGATAAACTATCACATAATTTATAGAGCTGTTGGGTCTACTTCATCAATCAATATTTGGAAATACTGTATTAACTAATAGAAGTTGCAGTGTCTGAATAAGTATTGCTCTGGCTAAATGCTGGTAGAGAGAATGTATCTTGAACCAGAGTTCTAGAAAGGCTTTTGATCTAGTGAGTTTCCATGGAAGATAAGCTCCCTGTCCCAGAGGGGCCAAAAACTGTAGATGAGAAGATTTTTTTGTTCCTTATGCCATTCAAGAATTAGGCAAAGAAATGCTGTCTTTTGGTGATTTAAAGTGGGAAGAAGAAAATATCACCTCTAAACATTTCTTCATAAAGAAACAAGGTTACTCAGAAGAAATTAGAGTTTCTCCAAAGATAGTAATTTCTGGTACTAACTAGTGACACAATATCCAGCAGTTCCTGGGGAATAAAGTCTGTTTTATTTAGCGATCCTACCACTTCTATTCCCAGATTAAGACTGATGACCAGAGATTAATCATAAATGTATTTCTTCTCCAAGAAAGAGGTGACTGTGCCATGAATTTTGGACCACAGGAGGGTTCTTATTCATCGTTAGAGAGGTATAATATTACAAAGCAAAGAAGATCCAGTTTCCTAAGATTAAAAGTAACAGTCTATTAACTAGGAGAAAAGGTTTTCTTAGAAGCTGGTCCACCTTGTCCATTGGTTCTTTGGTATATAAAGGAAAATTCGCTTTCCTGAAAAATACATAAGAAGTTGTTGGAATAACCTAATGATCTTCTGCTATCTCCAATATAGAGAAGATCGCCCCAGGGAAGGAATGCTGCTCACAGATGGGGACGGTTGAGATGAAGGTCAGAAATCTTCTGAGGGAAGGGACTTAGGAAGAGTCCTAAACACAGGTTTGTACATTGGAGGCCTAGGCGAGGAGAGGTCCTATTTCTGTTATTGATGGGTTCTGTCTTTAAAAAGGCATTTCAAGAGTAGGAAACTAAGTGGGAATAACCAATTGACTTACATTACAATGGTGAGTCAGAGAGAGCATTTAATTGCGTGCATCTTGAGTCTCTGGACTTTAAGACTGGATAGCAGGTTACTGAAAGTGCTGAGCTAGAAGGAAAAGGGCGTCAAGGTGCCCAGGGAATTTCAGCTTGCTGGCCATGCCCTGAAGGAGGTTTGCAGGTGAGAAGAGTCTTTAATATTTAGAAGAGAGCTTTCACCTCTTTCACTGTAAGAGCCAGGTTCTAAGGGGGTCTGTGTGTATGTGCATATTAAGAGAGGGCCAGGAATGGGAGAATGAGACCAAGATTTCATGAGAAAAAGTGTGAGGTACACCTGAGGAGAAAAGGGGCTAGGAGAGGGTTAGGAATTTTGGCACCTCAAATAAAAAGTGGCCTTAGAAGCAACCTTCAACAGCTCTGCATATTTCCACAGTATTAAATATGGACAGATAAGCCACTTAGCTGAATACCTGGGCTCCAAGATTAAGGGGTGGGGGTTATTTCCTATGGATTTAATTTACCTCAGATATTTTCTCTTTTACAGATGGAGTCTTTCTGGAATGTCATTAAAAAAACAATGGTGTAGAATTCCAACTAATAAACATAGCAGGAAAAGCAAAATGAGAAAAACCACCACTTGGCAATCACCACAGCAATAAATATTTTAGGCAAGAATCCTAAACCTAGTGGGCTAAAGTGTGATGAGAGATGGGAGATTTAAGTAGTTCCAAAGTTTCTCCTCAGAAGATATTTATTAATTACAAAGGGGACAACAGCACCTTCACAGTAGAGAGACCTGAGAGGCAGCTCCGGACCAAATGATGACAGTAAACATCTTCCACCCCCAGGCAAAGTGGCCTCCTGCCTGCCAAGCCTGAGCTCTGAGAAGAACCGGCAGCTCTCCTGGGATTCCTGCCCCAGAGACACAACCTGAATCCATCTGATCATGGGGAAACATAAGATAAAACACTTGGTAAAACCAAACTGAGGGACATTCTACAGAGAACTGGCCAGTAGTCTTCAAAAAATGGCAAGGCCGTGAAAGGCAACATGACTGAGGAATGGCTCCAAATCAAAGCAGATGAAAGACACAGGACAGCTAAATGCTATGTATTATGCTATGGATGTTTTTCTTTTGCTAAAAAGAACATTTATTGGAACAACTTGTGAAATCTGAATAAAGTCTATAAATTATGTTAATATAACAGTATTGTAGCAATGTTAATTTCATGCTTTTGAAAATTATACAGCCATTATTATATAAGAAAACTGCCTGTGTTTAGAAAATGCACACTGAACTATCCAGAGGTAAAGGGGCATGTTAGAACTGGCTCTCAAAATTTCCAGAGCATGTGTATGTAAAGAGAAAACAGTAAATGCTCACATTTAGGGAATATGGCTGAAGAGTACATGGGGCTCTTTGTACTCTCCTACAATTGTTCTATAAGGTTGAAGTTATTTCAAAATAGAAAGTTAAAAAGTAAATATCATGGTGTTTACTATACCTGCTTCAAGAAGGAACCAATAATCCCTCATATCTCATGACTCAGTGTATGTGGAATGGGACAGGCACTCTGAAATCAAGAAGTGGTTGTTTCCTACCCTGATATGGGGTTTGGGTGGTCCCTATCCCACAATGGTTTATTAAAAGGATTTGTTCTGTAAAATTTGGATTCAGTCAAAAGGCCACACTCAAGGATCCAGAAGGCTGCATGTGGCCCCAAAGCCACAAGTTCCCTACCCTTGCTTGCCCCAACCCCACCCACACCACCATCACCCCACCACCACCCCACCACCACTTGGTCCATTTCTCTAGGACTTTAATAAGGCTGTAATCCTACCTCACTTATGAAAGGGTGAATATTTGGTTCCAAATTCTAAACTTCTCA